AGCTGGAGTGGGGCAGGTGGAGGGGGGAGCTGGAGGGGGGAGCTGGAATGAGGGGGGTGGAGGGGGCAGGGGATGAGGAGGACAAGAGGGGAGCCTCTTCAGAGCAGGGACCCTTCCTGATGGAGGTGAGGGATAGTGTCCCCGCTGTCACAGTGAAGTATGCTACAGTGGTTCAGGCACCCACTCTCCGGGTTGTCACAGGATTGAAGGAGGGTGCATGGCACAGCGTGAGTGCCCAGTGAGGGTGGTCATGACCGTAGATGGCACCCAGCAGCGCTTGCTCAGTGGATACTTGTCTCTGGGGAAGCTGGGGGAGTGGGGAGGGGGTATGGAGTTTGTTTCTGAGGCTCCATTGGGGCAGGAGGGAATCTGGTTGGCGCCCCCACAGCGGAGGGGGCGGGTGGGGGGGGGGACCACAGGACGGAGCCGGGGAGTGGCCTCTTACCTGTCCTGAGCCTGGCCTGGAGGCTGGGAGGGGTGCATCAGGCCTCCAGCGCCCTCCCTGCTCTGTGACGCAGGGCCCCAGGCGCACACAGGCCTCACACGGTCTGTCCTGGCCTCGGACCCGGGCGGACCATGGCGGCGCTGCGGCTCCTGGCTTCAGCACTCGGGCGCGGGGTCCCCATCAGCGGCTCAGGGCTGGCGCTGTCCCAGGGCTGCACCCGCTGCTTTACCACCAGCCCCCGGCGCCGCGCCAAGTTCTACAGGGACCCAGTGGAGATGGTGAAGGACATCCCTAACGGGGCGACCGTCATGATGGGGGGCTTCGGGCTCTGTGGGATCCCCGAGAACCTGATCGCCGCTCTGCTCAGGACCCGCGTGAAGGACCTGAAGGTGGTCAGCAGCAACGTGGGCGTGGAGGACTTCGGCCTGGGCCTCCTGCTGGCCACCAGGCAGGTCCGCCGCATCGTCTGCTCCTACGTGGGCGAGAACTCCCTGTGCGAGAAGCAGTACCTGGCGGGCGAGCTGGAGCTGGAGCTCACGCCGCAGGGCACCCTGGCCGAGCGCATCCGCGCGGGGGGCGCCGGGGTGCCCGCCTTCTACACCCCCACGGGCTACGGGACCCTGGTCCAGGAAGGGGGCGCCCCCATCCGCTACACCCCGGACGGCCACCTGGCGATCATGAGCCAGCCCCGAGAGGTGAGGGAGTTCCACGGCGACCACTTCCTTTTGGAGCGCGCCATCCGGGCGGACTTCGCCCTGGTGAAAGGCTGGAAGGCCGACCGGGCAGGAAACGTGGTCTTCAGGAGAAGCGCCCGCAATTTCAACGTGCCCATGTGCAAAGCCGCAAACGTCACAGCAGTGGAGGTGGAAGAGATCGTGGACGTGGGGACTTTCCCCCCAGAAGACATCCACGTCCCTAACATTTATGTAGATCGCGTGATAAAGGGGCAGAAATACGAGAAGCGAATCGAGCGCTTAACGATCCGGAAAGAAGAAGGTGCAGACGCCCTGAAGGAAGAGGACCCCAGGACTCGCATCATCAGACGCGCAGCTCTGGAATTTGAGGACGGCATGTACGCCAACCTGGGCATAGGCATCCCCCTGCTGGCCAGCAACTTCATCAGCCCCCACATGACCGTCCACCTTCACAGTGAGAACGGGATCCTGGGCCTGGGCCCGTTTCCCACAAAAGACGAGGTGGATCCCGATCTCATCAACGCAGGCAAGCAGACGGTCACGGTGCTTCCCGGGGGCAGCTGCTTCGCCAGCGACGACTCCTTCGCCATGATCCGAGGTGGACACCTCCACCTAACCATGCTCGGAGCCATGCAGGTTTCCAAATACGGAGACCTGGCCAACTGGATGATCCCTGGCAGGAAGGTGAAAGGCATGGGCGGTGCCATGGACTTGGTGTCCAGTCAGAAGACCAGAGTGGTGGTCACCATGCGGCACTGTGCAAAGGACAACACCCCCAAAATCATGGAGAAATGCACCATGCCGCTGACCGGGAAGCGGTGTGTGGACCGCATCATCACCGAGAAGGCTGTGTTCGATGTGCACAAGAAGAGAGGCCTGACACTGAGAGAGCTCTGGAAGGGCCTGACGGTGGACGACATCAGAAAGAGCACGGGCTGTGACTTTGCCGTGTGCCCAAACCTCAGGCCCATGCAGCAGGTGGCACCCTGAGGGAGGCGAAGCTGGGCAGGGAGGTGCGCTCCTCAGGGGGCCCCACTAGGTTCCCCAGGGGCGTTGGTCACTGCAGGAATACATTTCCCTAGCGATGGGAGGGGTTTGCTGCTGGCCTCCAATTTTCCTCCCTAGGTGGACTGTGCTCCTTTAGAGAGCTGGGACTTTAATTAAACACACAAGGAAAACAGATCAGCTCCTCTCTGTGTTCCTTGAGCATTGCAAGGAAGGAGAGGAGTGGGGGTGAGGGAGCTTCTCCAGACCTCCCAGATGCAGGGCTCTGAACCAAGACCCTCTGTTAGTCCCCTTCACCACCTCCCATCACCCCAGCCACACCCAGCCTGTCCCCTGCGGTGTGCTGGGAAAGTGTATGACAGTCCTGGCTCTGACCCACCTTGCTCTGGGACCTTGGACAGTTGCTGCTCTCTGGGCCTTAGTTTCCACTTCTGTAAAATGGGAACCTGGGATTAGCTGCTTCCAAGAGTCCCCAGTCAGGCTCGCCTGGCCTGTGAGACCTACAGAGGGGTTCCCAGCACCCAAGCCAGGCCTGGCTCAGAGGGGCTCTTTGAGGGTCTGTGGTGTAACTGATCTAATGCAATATTCTATCCTGCATCTGGGAGACCCCCAGAAGACCCCTGAACACAGCCCCACAATAGCAAATAGTGAGCAAAGCCTGTGGGACTGATGGCCTCCCTGGCCTCACAGCCACTAGGGCTCCCCAGGGAATCAGGACAGGGCCGAACATACAACCGGGAGGGCTGCCCTGGGCCCCAGGCTGTCCCCATATGTCAGTCTGCAGAGTGCCGCTTCTGTACCTGGCTGGTGACCATTGCCATCCCGCTTGGCTGCTCTGTCCTCTCCCCATTGTGGCCTCACTTGCCTTTTCCTGTGTGCCCAGCTCTGTTCCTTGTAATTCTGCCGCTTCCCCATAACCTTGTCTTACCGTGAGCCGAGCTCTGTCCAGTGCTCTCTGGGCCTCCTTCCCGTCAGCGCCTGCAGCTCACAGCCTCCGTCTCGGCAGCTCTTCTCCACACTCCTTTGTGGCAGGTGATGTCACAGGTCAAAGGTTGGTCTCTGGATTCACTGGTGGTTCAATCAAGTGGCCAAGGGACACTGGGGCTGAGGCACAGCTGCTTCAGGGCTGACCCTTGAGTGGGACTGAGGGTGGGGCAGGCAATGTCCTTGGCCTGTAGGGTGTACTGGAGAACCACGCAGGAATAAATACATCTGTATGTGTAATGTCTAAGCATATGTACATCTGTGTTTATACGGACACACATATATGCATGTGTGTACATACATGCGTACATGTGTGCTTGTAACGAGGTGAAATGTGTCTGTGAAAATGAGCTGGCAATCATGCTTCTGCAACTCAGCATCGGGAAATTTCACCCATTGCACTCCCATCTTTATCACGAAAACCAGGAAATAACCCACATGTCTGATGATGAGCCAAAATCAAGTAAATTACGGTATACTGCTCCAAGGGATTTTATACATTTGAAATATTTATTGTAGAGTTTTTTTTTTGTTTTTTTTTTTGAGAAGGAGTTTCACTCTTGTCCCCTAGGCTGGAGTGCAATGGTGCAATCTCAGCTCACTGCAACCTCCGCCTCCCGGGTTCAAGCGATTTTCCTGCCTCAGCCTGGCATTAAAGGCGCATGCCACCATGCCTGGCTAATTTCTGTACCATGTCAGCCAGGCTGGTCTCGAACTCCTGCTTGAACTCCTGACCTCAAGTGATCTGCCTGCCTTGGGCTCCCAAAGTGCTAAGATTACAGGGGTGAGCCACTGTGCCTGGACTGTAGAGACTTTTTTAAACAGCAAAATTTTTTATTTTTCAATTTGTTTTGAGACAGGGTCTTGCTCTGTCACCCAGGCTGGAATGCAGTGGTGCAAACATGGCTCACTTCAGCCGCCTGGGCCCAAACAATCCTCCTGCCTCAGCCTCCCAAGTAGCTGAGACCACAGGCATGTGCCACCACACCCAGCTAATTTTTTGTTTTTAGTAGAGATGGGGTCTCACTATGTTTCCTAGGCTAGTCTTAAACTCCAGGCTGAAGCCATCCTCCTGCCTCAGCTGTCCAAAGTGCAGGCATTACAGGTGTGAGCCACCACACCTGGCTATTGGAAAGTTGAAAAAAAATGAGGACATCTTTGCTGGGCTGACAACTGTGGAAAACTTAAATTTACATAATGAAAATAGAATAGCCCAGAAAAGTGGAAATGGGAGTTGAAAGGTCTTTAAAATGGTGTTTTTTTTTTTTCCCCCAAAACTTTCTTTACTGTGGTTAATTGCTTTTACAATAGAAAGGTTATTGAAATCCAAACAAGTACAGGAAGATGCACAGGTTTATTAGTGAGATTGCCGTCTCCAGGGTTAGTTACCATGTTTTTAGCGGTATCCTCAGTCTGGAAGCGGCTGTGGGAGACAATCCCTTTATACAGGCTTTGCTCCTCCTGGGGCTGAGGCCCAAGTTAGCTGCTTCAGCCAGCCCTCCCTCCCTCCCTCCCTCCCTCCCTTCTCTGCCTCAGCCCTCCTTCCTTCCTTCTCTGCTTCAGATTTCCTTCCTTCCTTCCCTGCTTCCTTCCTTCTCTGCCTCAGCTTTTCCTTCCTTCCTTCTCTTCCTCCCTCCCCACTTTCTTTTTCTTTTCTTTCTCTCCCTTCCTTCCTTTTCTCTTCTCCTCTTTCTTTTCCTTCTTCTCTATAAACCCAGGTCATGCATAAGAACTTGGGCTCTGGAATGAGACCACTGCAGGCTAAACCCTGGGCTCTGGGATTTGGTTCCAATGTCTCTGCTCCACGGAGCCTGGTGTTTCCCTTGTGGGCATCAGGGAGACAGTTAATGCCCTGCTCTTGGGCTGTGCCCAGGGGAGCAAGTGCTCGCTAAATCTGGCAGATGCTGCCATGCGCTGTCTCAGTCATAATTTGACATTCACACCCCAGAAAGTGTGGGACAGAAGACACAACACAGGCCTCAGGGTCCTCAAACCGGTGGGAGTGCCAGTTCTGGGAGTCACTGGCAGTGGGACTCTGGGTCTCCTGTGAGGTAGGAGCTGCAGGGTTACTGTAAGGACCCAATGAGGTGATCCATGGGAAAAATCTTCAAACTGGTAGAGCGCCTCACAAATGTCTGTGTCACAGCTGTCACTAATGACGCTGCCTGCAGCTCACCAAGCCCCGAGTCCCTCCCCAACCTCCTCCAGATCTAGCCCAGGAAAGATGTGGACTGGCCAGGGCTGGACCAAGGGCTCCAGGCTTCAAATGTGGAAACTGAGGCTCAGCAGGGCCCCTGGGGTCTTCAGTCTCCACAATCCTGAACCTGCCCAGGCCCGGCAGAGAGATCCCTGCTGTGTCCGCTGCAGGCCCATTGCCCATGAGTGACCCCTCTCTCCTTTCTGTCTCAGGGCACAGCGTGGATCCTGGCCTGGCCGGCCTGCTGGGCCAACGGGCCCCCCGCTCCCAACAGCCTTTCGTGGTCACTTTCTTCAGGGCCAGTCAGAATCCCGTCCGCATCCCTCGAGCAGTGAGGCCACTGAGGAGGAGGCAGCCGAAGAAAACCAACGAGCTGCCGCAGGACAGCCGGCTCCCAGGCATCTTTGGTGAGGGCCGGGCGGGCTGGGGCTGAGGCCCTGCAGGCTTCTGGCTGAGAGAGGCAGGGCGAGAACCAGGAGGTGGCCCAGAGCCCTCGAGCTCAGGTCGGTTCAAGCTGATGGCCACTCTGCAGCCCCCTTCCCTGACACCATCTTTGCCCTGATGCACCCTGGTGACCCGCACTCCAGAGGCCTGTCTTGGCTGTCCTGGCTGTCCCTGCCACCCAGAAGGCCCCTTCTCTCCCTCCCCTAGCTCCTCCAGGTCTTTCCCAGGAGCCTCCATCAGAATCGGCTGCCCCTTCCCTGGGCGCCGAAGCCCCTCGTTGCCCGCAGTTGTGCCCGGGCACCCTGCAGGACCCTCGGCTACTTATGCAAAGTTTTCTCCCCAACTGGGCGAAGCCCTTCAGGATCAGGGACAGGCCTGACCCGACCCTGTGCCCTCCTTCCCAGGGAGTCAGCCCTGACTGGCCTGGTTGTAAGCCACTTGAACCTGAGGAATGGGTGTGGCAGGAGAGGGTGGGCTGGAGGCACAGGGCTCTCCAGAGCGGAGGAGGTGGCACAGGATGGCCAAGGGTCCTGCTGGGCTGTTTACTGGAGCATCAAGACGCTCACAGGCTGAAGGATGGGAGGGCTGGGCACAGTGTCACTCTAACCACTGGGAGCCATGGCAGGCTCTTGAGCTGGGTCATGGTACAAGCAGAGTTCCAGGGATGGGCTTTATGAGACCAAATGGTTTCCTGTCATTCATTTGACAAATGTGCTCATCAGGGGGTCCTCCACCCTGGTAACCCGCAGCAGCTGCACAGAGCAGGAACCCCAGAAAAGACCTTGCTCCTTCTGTCCCTACAGATGATGTCCACGGCTCCCACGGCCGGCAGGTCTGCCGTCGGCACGAGCTCTACGTCAGCTTCCAGGACCTCGGCTGGCTGGTAAGTGCTGACTCTGGTCCTTGTTTCTGAAATGACAATCGCCACCTGTGGAGCAGAAGGGACTCTGCAGGGAGGACTGCATGGGTGATTTCAATTTTCTTACGTATTTTTTTCTTTGTGTTTTCCAAGTTTTCTAAAGTGAGAACGTGGTGAGAAACGGTGTGTTGTTTTTTGTTTTTTTTTTAAACCATGCAAATAAAGACTGAACCAACTAAGCTGTCGGCATTGCCGCAAGGAAACTGAGACCTCCCTGCATCTGCTGCGGCTGGGACTTCAACCGCAGCTCTGGGAGGCATTGGCAGGGGAGGGCCGGCTGGGGAGGGATGAAGAGTGAGGATGGGGGATGTCGGGCCTGAGCTCCTGCCCAGCATGTGCTGGGGGTTCCTGAGTGGATTCAGGCCTCTGGGGGAGACTGCCCTGCAGGGGTGGAGGGTGGGTTTGGGCCCAAGGCTCAGGGAGGGGCACATGGATGGGACTCACCTTCTCCCATACCCCCAGGACTGGATCATCGCCCCGCAAGGCTACTCAGCCTATTACTGTGAGGGGGAGTGCTCCTTTCCGCTGGGCTCCTGCATGAACGCCACCAACCACGCTATCCTGCAGTCCCTGGTCAGTACGGTGCCTGTCCTACCCAGTTTCCTGGGGTGGGGGGCCCTGCGGAGAGGGGTCTGGTCCAGCCAGCTTGGAGGGCAGTGGGGGGACCTGCTCCGTGTCTCAGGGAGCTTCCTCTGCACGGAGTCAGTAACGCCATCAAATTTCCACAGCTCTGCAGGACCTGATCCTCATACAGCCACACTAGCCCACATAGACTCACACCTGAACACAGACACACCCCACACTGACACTAAACAGCTGTGCACACGCGCCTGTTCTACGCACCACACATGCTCCTGTGGGACACTTATGCACCTGTGTGCGGTGCCCAGACTGACAGAGGCACAGCACACGAAATTGACGTGCACGCCGTGTGGGGACTGTGATCTTAACACGCGGGCACCTGAGTACACTGGCAAGTCTGCCCACCCAGGATATGTCACACAGCATGAGGGACGTGCGTGTGCACTCACCCACCTGTGCCACACCGCAGGCAGGGAGCGTCTAGATGGTGTGGCTCTCTACCCTTTGGCTCTCTACCCTTTGGCTTTTCCCCATTTCTCTCTTGGCCATTTGTGTTTTCTCCAGATCCCCTGGCTTTTGGTGCCTCAGTGTCTGGGGCAACCTTAAATGATGAAAGTGGCTTCTGATGGGATCACTGGTGCTCCTCAAGGCTGAGTGCTCTGTGTGTTTGCAGATTCTGGCACCCAGGCTTCCTTCTAGAAATTTTTATCTAGAATCCCAGTCCTGGTATTCCACAGCCTTATGGTTTTCTCATAGGAGGTTCAAAGGCGATGCCTTCAGGCACGGTGGCTCACACCTGTAATCCCAGGAGTTTGAGACCAGCCTGGGCAACATGGTGAAACCCTATCTATCTCTAAAATAAAAATTAAAAAAACAATCACACATACACACAGAAAGGCAATGCCTTGGCATGAGAGGAAAGGGATTACCAAAAGCTGCTTTGAGCCTATGATAACACTTACTTTCTGGGCGGTCAAATGGCGTTCACTGGACACCTGGAGCGCCCTCCTTCCAGCCACCCTTTATGCTGTGTGGTTCTCAGGGCTGCATGTATGGGGAGGTGACTGCAACTCCTGGACTCTGTCCCCTCTGCCCCTGCCCCTCAGGGGCTCAACTAAAGTGAGCATTCACAACCTGCTGGGCAGCAATCAGGCACTATGCTCTAAGGGAGGCTGTCGGTGGGCACGGAAGCAAACCACCCACAGAGCTGATGCCTCCTGTGAGGAAGAGCACAGCAGGCCGCCTATCAGTGGAGGGAGATTGGGCCCAGCCTCTCCACACAAGGAAGGGCAGCTGGAGGAGGAACGTTCTAGCAGAAAGAGCAAGTGCGAGGCCCTAAGACAGGAGCACGCTGGTCCTAAGATCAGGGCCAGCAGTGGGGAGGGCTTAGGTGCAGTGACTGGGAGGAAGGGTGGAGGGAGGTGATGCCGGGGTGGGCAGGGCCAGCTCCCGGTCTGGGGGTTCCTGGGAAGGAGGGTGGATTTTTTTCCAAGCAACCTGAGAAGCTGTCAGAGGTCTTTAGCAAAGCAGTGTCATGGTCCATGTCACCCTCCAGAATGACCTCTCTGGCTTGGGGAGGCTGAAGGTGGGAGGAGTGGAAGGCAGAGGAGCAGGGGAGGAGGGCTGCTGTGGTCACCTGGCAGGTGATGGCAGCTGGACTGGGCAGGTGGCCTGAGACAGCACAGAGGTAGAGGTTGAGCCAGGGGCTGCTCCCAGGGAAGGGAGAAGGGGAGAGGAGGCATCCAGGAGGCCTCCCAGGCAGGGCTGTGATGTCAGGGAGAGAGGAACTTGGTGTTCTGCCGAGGCCCTGTTAGACCCTAAGTGCAGAAGTGGGGAGGGGAGCAGGATCTGCAAGTCTGGAGAGCAGCACAGGAGAGGGACCAAGACCTGGGCTCCAAGAGCCTGGGGAGGGAGGCGGGGTATGGGAGGCGGAGCCTCTGGGTCCAAAGGGCCAAAAGAAGGAAGTGGTCCTTCCAGGCTCCCCATCGGGGACCTCACTAAGGCACAAACCTGGCCATGCGGTTCTCCTTCCCATCATCCCCAGGAGGAAGTCTGAGCCCTTGGCCTGGGAGCACCCTGCCTGCCTGCCCCACAGGTGTCCTGCCCTGTGTCCTTCCCTGGGCACTGCTGGTCACCACGGCTCCTGCTCCCAGAGCCCAGAGGGCTGCTCTTATTCCTGTGAATAGTTATTATTATTGTGCTGCTCCCATGTGGCCTGGAGATGGCCAGGGTGGGGAGCAGGTGGAGCTGGGGTGGGGCTGGGTGGGTCCTCGGAGGCGGCCACTGGGATCATGCCCCTGCCTGTGCCCTCTCCCTGGCCAGGTACACCTGATGAAGCCAGACGCAGTCCCCAAGGCGTGCTGTGCGCCCACCAAGCTGAGTGCCACCTCCGTGCTCTACTATGACAGCAGCAACAACGTCATCCTGCGCAAGAAGCGCAACATGGTGGTCAAGGCCTGTGGCTGCCACTAAGCCCAGCCCACCCACCCTGCTGGAGCCGCCCTTCTCATCAGATCTGGCCCCTTGGAAGCAGGAAACCCTTCAATGCTGTCACAGCTCAAGCAGGAGTGTCAGGGGCCCTCACTTTCCATGCCTACTTTCTGTCAGGCTTCTGGTCCTTGCGAGGTCCCTCTGTGCCTCTCCCCTGGGGTTTGTGGCTGTCACCCTGCCTGACACTTTGGTGGCCTAAGGGTACACAGCAGTCTTGGAGCCTGTGCTGACTTCACTGTCTGGAGTCAGCACAGAAGTCCTATCTTAGGACCTGTTAGACTGTGGCCAGCCCTGGATGGTCTGAGGTTGGCTGACGCGAGCTTTGCACCATCATCTACACAGGGTTTTGGGGTGGGCAGAAGGGCTCTACCCCTTCCCAGGGACAACACTTGGGCATTTCTGGGCATAATTGGGCATGCACATGTTCTCAGTACAGTGTGTTCTTGGATTTTTCTAATTTGGTCCAGGCCACAGTTAGCATATTAGAAAAAGAATAAGCTAGAGGTGCTCATGAAGCCACCACCGTGGATTTTTTTTTTTTTTTTTTTTAAGATGGAGTCTCACTCTGTCCCCCAGGCTGGAGTGCAGTGGCATGATCCTGGCTCACTGCAACCTCCACATCCCAAGTTCAAGCAACTCTCCTGCCTCAGCCTCCCGAGTAGCTGGGACTACAGGCACTCGCCACCAAACGCAGCTCATTTTTGTATTTTAGTAGAGACAGGGTTTCCCCCTAGGCTGGTCTTGAGCTCCTAACCTCATGATCTGCCCGCCTCAGCCTCTCAAAGTGCTAAGATTACAGGTGTGAACCACTGCACCCGACACTGGGACTATTTTATGTCATGTCTTCCCTTGCCCTGGGCCTCCCCCTTCTCCTGCCTGGGAAAGAGGTATGACTCCCAGAGGAGCAAAGAATCTCGGGGGCTTCCAATTGCCTCAGCCATCTCCACCATGCTCTGAATAGCTCTGAATAGCTCAGCACTGAGGCAGAGAGGCAAGGCCAGCAGCTGCGATGTGTGGTCCAGGCTGGCACAGAGCAGATGTCCCCGCAGCCTACCCGCCTTGCCCATGGCTGATGTCAGTAATCAACCTACGTACCTTTCCCACTGAACCTGGAGAGGGCCTCTGGGCCTCAGCACAGAACTGTAGACAGCCACCACCAGGCACTGTCAACAAGACCTCAGTCCCCTACTGCTCCACTGTGGAGCAGTCCATTCCAGCCAGAGCAGGGTGACTGGCAGTCTCCAGACAGGCATGGGGCAAGGGCGGGGACTGCCAGTGTTTGCTTGTGTCTAGGAGTTAAGAACAGGCTGGTCACCAAAACTGGCGTCACCCTGGGTGCCCAGCAGCACTGTACTGTGTCTTGGGACTATGAGTCAAAGAAAAGGTCCCTGTCCCAGGGAGTGACAGGCAGTAATTAGGCTGAGTTGGGTGGGGAGGTTTGTTTCAGCCTCCGCTGTTCCCGGAAACCACTGTTCTCCTTGGAGCTGCCACTGGGAGTTGGAGTGTTTATTTGATTTCTGACTTGCTAAGCCTGTAATTTACCTGCTGGAACAGACAGAGTCCAGCTGCCCAAACCATGTCATTAAAAGCAGATCTTGGGCCTGTCCCATCCACAGGCACAGCCCGGCAGGGTGGTTCCACCTCCCATGTGCCCACGGATGTGCCTCTTTGGAGTTCACATGCTGCACCCCCAGAGATGGGGCTAGGGAGAGCTGGTCTGGCAGCAGGGGTAGAGGCTGGGGCCATGCTGCGGGACAGCAGCCCCTCCACTCAGAGCAGGGAGAGCCTCTGTGTGCAAGCGCAGAGGATGAGACCCTTCCATGTATGCAAAGGGTGGGCCCAGGCTGCCTGGAAACAGTGAGTTCCCTACTAGTCTAGGGCTTCAAGCTCAGCTAGCAGGGACTGGAAGAGGCACTGGCCTGAATGTCAAGAGACAGATATTCTGGTTCCAACTCAGCCACTGACTTGATGTCGTCTAAGACAAGTCCTCTTTCTTATTCACGCTTCAGTTTCTCATCTGCGACATGAGGACATGGGACTCTTTCATTCCAAAGGCTCTTCCAGCCAGAGAGCCCATCTGCCCCTGTGACCTTCTCCCAGAGCCTGAGACATGGCCTGATGGCCCGGTTGCCACAGGACTTGGAGCCTATCTGCCATTGCAAGACCTGATTTAACAGCGCTCTTCTTCCAATACTGGGCAGTAGAGTTTTGGAAACTGACAAATGTTTGGTCTCTTTAGTGCCCAGTATGTAAACTGGCATAGTTTGGGGATGCTAAGAGTTTGTGAAATGAATGTTTTCAAGACACAAACACTGCCATGCCCATCAGGTGTGCAGAGCAGGCCTGAAGATCGTGATGAGACTCCCTTTTCAGCAGCAAAGCAGAAAGTGACAGTTGTGGCCTTCCTGGTGGCCAGACTTCTAGCATCTTTAGCCACCCAGACAGCCACCAAATGACATCACATAGAGAAGGCCTCAGAAAAGGAGGAGGGTGTATGGACCCACAGCTGATGAGGGGTCAGTGCTCAGCTACCAAGGTCCTCTTCTGGCCTGGTTGTCTCCCACCCCCAGGATGCATTCAAGGCTACACATCAGGAGCATAAATAAGGGTAGTCAACTCAGGCCCACTGGCAGCGACAAGTAGCCACTGACAGGGGGTCTGAGGCCATTCAGTGCAGAGCAGCTCCTCCACCCCAGTGGCCATCTTCAGACTGCAGCGCAGGGCTGGCCCTGATGCCAGCCGAGTGTGCAAAGTCCTGTTTCTTTGTCTTTATGTAGGGACCTGGGCGATGTGCTTTAGAGAAATTCCCTATTATTTCATGGGAAAGGGGTCTGTGAAAAGGAGAGGACAGGTTTTGGAACCAAGTTGACCTGGTGTCAAGTCCTGGCTCTGCCTTTTTTTTTTTTTTTCTGAGACAGGGTCTTACTTTGTCACGCAGGCTGAAGTGCAGTGGCTGTATCATGGCTCACTGCAGCCTTGACCTGCTGGGCTCAGGCAATCTTCCCACCTCAGCCAGAGGTGCTAGGACGCCAGGCACATGCCACCACACCCGGCTAATTTTTATATTTTTTTGTAGAGACCAGGCCTCACTATGTTGCCCAGGCCAGTCTTGAACTCCTGAGCTCAAGCAATCCTCCCACCTCAGCCTCCCAAAGTGCTAGGATTATAGGCAAGAGCCACTGTACCCAGCCTCTGCCTCTTGTTAATTTGACAACATCATGTACCTGCTGTGCCTGCTCCTTCCTCTGTAGAAGAGGGTGCTGGTCTTGCCCTTTTGAGGCCTCCATGAGGGTCAAATGTGTCATGGGACACATAAAGCCATGCCTGCGCAGATCTGTGGAATAAACAGCAATTCTGAGCAGGCTCATTTTAAATGGACTTACAAATTTGGGCCTTTCTTGTGTGCCTTCCTCATAAAACCCACTCCTCCCAGAATGTGTTTGGAAGTACTGCTGTATTTACCTGAGAGCTGTGCTTTTCCTCAAAAATATAAACGTGGTAATCTCTTGCATGAGGTGTGGCCTGCACCCTCACCTGCTTGTGGAAGGAGTCTGAATTGGCAGTGACCTGCGCGTTAGGGTCTCTGCTGGGGAAGTGGCAGGTGTGTGGCCCTCCCCTGGCCCTGTAGTGAGTGTGGCTGGCACCTAACGTTGCCCTTGTGGGAAGCTCAAGGGGGCGCTTTCTACTCCAGGCTCCTTTCCTTACTGGGAGGCCTTGAGCAAATAGCTGCCACTCCCTACTTTTAACAAATGTTTTTTCCTCATGTAAGAAAACTACCTGTGTGCTGGGGAAAATTTTGAAAATGACAAAAACCAGAATACCTACACCCATAATCAATTACAGAGAAAATAACAAAAACCAGAATACCAACACCCACAATCAATCAGAGAGAACCACTGCTCCTAATTCCTTCCAGTCTTTTTTCTTGGCACATACACATTTTTCTTATATATGACATAGGATATTTTATAAAGTTAGGATCCTACTCTGTGCACTGCTTGGTGATCTGATTTATTCAATGTATGAAACATTTTGAAAGTTTCTGTTATTAAATGTTCTTTCAAAATATAATTGTTAGCAGCCTTCCAGCCCTTGAGTTCTTCTTTAGCTTCTCCCTCATACGTCTGGTCTTGCATTCCCTTCCTCAGAGGCTGGGGTGGGGCTCCCATGGGGCGGCAGGCAGCCCAGTGCCCAGATCATGTGGCCACGAGTCTGTCCACTGGTCTGGAATCCTCGGACCAATAATCTCCTCTCCTCCTCTGTGTAGCACTTGGCACAAGCATGGGCAGGTGCCTTACCTTTGAGGCTCAGGTGACCTCACAATGCAAGGGTCACAGGTGGACCCACTGGGATAACTTCTGGGGAAAAACTGAAGGTTCCTCTCCCACTGGCCTCTCTGGCTGGTCCCTTGATCCCTCCTTCCCAGGGTTATCAGGCAAGCACAGCAATAAGGTCCTCCCTTGTTTCACAGGGCTGTGGGACCAGTCCTCCCTCTCAGGGCCTTGGGCCAGCCCCAGAACCCACTATGTTGAGCACTTTACACATATCCTCTTCTCTCCTGGGCTTCATGGCAGCCCTGGGTAGCTGGCCTTATCCTGGCCTCAATGCTGCCTGTCCTGACAGCCATGACTGACCACCAGTAACATAACGTCAACACTGAGGAGTAAGAGTGCCTGCTGGGAACACTGCAGGCCCAAGCTGATCAAGGGGGAGAAGCCCCACCCAGGGTGCCAGAGGTGGAGCTGGCCGGGGGTCACTGGGGCCAGGGCAATAGGCTTCTCCTTTCCCCACCACCCTCACCCTGGTGGATTCTCAACATCAAGGCTTGATTCAGCCAGCACTTTGGGAGGCTGAGGCAGGTGGATCACCAGAGGTCAGGAGTTCGAGACCAGCCTGGCAAACATGGGGAAACCCTGTCTCTACTAAAAATACAAAAATTAGCTGGGCATGGTGGCAGATGCTTGTAATCCCAGCTACTTGGGAGGCTGAGGCAGGAGAATTCCTTGAACCCAGGAGGCAGAGGTTGCAGTGAGCCAAGATCATGCCATTGCACTCCAGCATGGGTGACAAGAGTGAAACTCCATCTCAAAAAGAAAAAAAAAAAAAGACTTGATTCAGACAGAGCTCCTGGGACATGTCATGGGAGCCAGTGGGCATCCCTGGGGGAGGTTTTTGGAGACTGATGGGGCTCAACCTCAGCACCTGAAAGATGCCATGAGGTGGTCCGGCTGGCCCAAAAGTGGTAGAAGGTGAGAGCCATCCTAGCACAGGCTGCACACCATGGCACCACACTGCAATTTCTAGGTAGGCCTGGGGTCAGGGAGGAGGTAGGACCCACCCCTGCTTGTTTCTCCCCAGCACCAAGCACATCTGCTGACTAAAGAAGGGCCATGGCTGATTCTTGGTAATATAGTTCTGTTGGTTCAGGGAGTGCATAATGAGTGCAGGTGAGTGAGACTGCTTACAGGTGCCCATCAGGCACAAGACCAGCTAGTGTGACAGCAGAAATGGTAACCAACCAGAGAGAGAAGACAGAGGCACTTTTATATGGCTTTGCCTTCTACTGCCCCACAACGAGCTGATGAGAGCATCCCCTAAGGGACTTGGCCTAAAAGAGAAGAACAGCAGCAGAGATGCTAAGGCCTGTCCCAGCAGCAACCTCTGAAAACACCTGGGACCTGGCTGGCAGGCAGCAGTATAAGAACTAGAATTTATTTTAGCAAACCAAACAGAATAAAACATCCAGGAGCCACATTGGTGGGCCCAACAGTAGACCTGGCAGCAAATGCCGGAAGAAGCCTGTGGCCACAAACAGTCTGCCCATGGTGGTGGTTGGTGAAGTAGCACCTGTGCTGGCTCCTGGGCCCAAAGCTGCACTTGGGAACATTCCATGCTGTGCCTGCAGAGGTGCTCCAAGCTGACCCTGAGGCAGGCCTCATGCCACAAATGCTGCTTGCTTCAAACAGGGCACCCTTGGTGCTGCCTCCTCTGAGGCTGGCAGCTCCTTCCTGGATGTGCAAGGGAAAGAGCAGAGTGGAGAGCAGAGAGAGCGCCACATGTATTCCCCACAGCTGGCGATGATCATCTTCTGCCTTGGCTTCCTGTCCTTGTCTTTTCAGATAGAATAGAAGAGGGGAACTCAGGGGAATGAAGGAGCAGAATAAAGAGAGACTTAGGGATACCCATCCCCTCTGCCCCTGGGGACACTGGCCCTAACAGTGGTGGAGCTCATAATCCAATGAATAGAGTCACCCAAAAAAGAAGTGGATTCATCACAGGAATGTAAGGTTGGTTTAACATCCAAAAATCAATTGATGTAACAGGCAAATATCAACAGTATAAAAGACAAAAACCACATAATCATCTCAGATATAGAAAAAGCATTAGACGCCAGGCGCGGTGGCTCAAGCCTGTAATCCCAGCACTTTGGGAGGCCGAGGCGGGTGGATCACAAGGTCAAGAGATCAAGACCATCCTGGTCAACATGGTGAAACCCCGTCTCTACTAAAAATACAAAACATTAGCTGAGCATGGTGGTACGTGCCTGTAATCCCAGCTACTCAGGAGGCTGAGGCAGAAGAATTGCCTGAACCCAGGAGGCGGAGGTTGCGGTGAGCCGAGATCGTGCCATTGCACTCCAGCCTGGGTAGCATGAGTGAAACTCCGTCTCAAAAAAAAAAAAAAGAAAAAGCATTAGACAAAATCCAACACCTTTCATAATGAAAACTCAATAAACTTTCTCAATCTGATAAAAGGTATCAACAGAAAACTACATCGTGAAAGACCAGATGCTTTCCCCCTAAGTTCAGGAACAAGATGAGGATATTTGCCCTTGACATTTCTATTCAACATTGTACTGAAGGTTTTAGCCAGGGTAATTAGGTGAAAAAAACGAAATAAAAGGCATCCAATTGGCAAGGAAAATGTGAAGCTATTTCTATTTACAGGTGACACAGTCTTGCATGGAGAAAATTCTACAAAATCCACAAAAAAAACTATTAGAACAAATAAGCAAGTTCAGCAATGTTGCAGAATACAAGATCAATATACAATTGATTATATATATTTTTGTAGAGACAAGGTCCCACTGTGTTGCCTCAGGCTGGTCTCAGACTCCTGGACTACAGCAATTTTCCCACCTCAGTCTCCCAAGGTGCTAGAATTATGAGTATAAACCACATGCCTGGACTGTTTTGTGGTTTTCAAAGTATAAGCTTTATAGAGCTTTTAAACTTATTCCTAAATATTTTATTCTTTTTTATGCTATTGTAAATATAATTTTAAAAAAAATTTTGTTTTCAGGTTAATTGCTAATATATAGAAACGTAATTGCTATATACATAACTATTTTTTGAGAAGGGTCTCACTTGGCTGCCCAGGTTGGAGTGCAGTGTACAAAAAATTTTAAAAAATTTTTTAAAATTAGACAGATGTGGTGGTGTGTGCCTATAGTTCCAGCTAGTTGTAAGGCAGAGACATAGGGACCACTTGGGCACAGGAGTTTCAGACTGCAGTGAGCTGTGATTGTGCCACTGCACTCCAGCCTGGGCAACAGAGCGAGACCATGTCTCAAAAAAAAAAAAGAGAGAGAGAAACTGTTTGCAAATTATATAACTGATAAGAGACCTGTACCCAGAATATTTAAAGAATTCTTACTTGCTAGGCATGGTGGCTTATACTTATAATCCCAGCATTTTGCAGGGATAAGGTAGGAGGATTCCTTGAGCCCAGGAGTTAAAGACCAGCCTGGATAACATAGAAAGACCTCATTCCAATTTAAAAAAAAGAAGAAAAGAAAACCACAGAACATTATTGAAAAACACTGAAGAGGACCTAAACAAATGAAAAGATATCCTAAGTTCATGGATTAGAAGACTTAATATTGTTAAGATGACAATACTCCCAAATTGATCTACATATGCAGTTATAATCTGTATTAAAATCCTAGCTGGCTTTTTTTTTGTAGAAATTGACAAGAGCTTATCCCAAAATTCATAAGAAATATAAGAGAATCAGGATAACCAACAAATCTTGAAAGGAAAAACAGAGTTGGAAGACTACCATTTCCAGAATTAAAAACTTACTAGAAAGGTACAGAATTTAAGACAGCGTAGTAATGGCCCAATGACAGACATACAGATCAACAAAATTTAATTTAGAATCCAGAAGAAACCCTTACATTTATGGTCAGCTATATTCACCAAGGATACCAAGACAATTAAACAGGAAAAAACAGGATTTTCAACAAATGGTGCCAGGACGACTAAAAATCCACATGCAAAAGAGTAGCACTGGACCACTTTCCTCATGCTAGACACAAAACTAACTCCAAAT